AGGGTCTTATTCTGTCGCACAGACTGGAGTGTGGTAGCACGATCTTCGCTCACTGCAACCTTCACCTCCCAGGCTCAAGTGATTCTTCTGCCTCAGCCTCCTGAGTAGCTGGGATTACAGACACACGCTACCACGCTCAGCTAATTTTTGTATTTTTAGTAGAGATGGGTTTCACCATGTTGGCCAGGCTGGTCACAAACTCCTGACCTCAAATGATCTACTTGCCTTGGCCTCCCAAAGTGTTGAGATTACAGGTGTGAGCCACCATGCCTGGTCAAGAAGGCACTTTCATGTAAATTGTCAATTTAAACCAAATAAGAGTATGCACAGATTGAGTGTACCTAAATTTGAAAACAGCATGTGAATGATTCTGTAGGGTAACATTTGGGGGAGCATGCCATGTTGTCTTGTTTTTATGTTTTGCTACTGTAACATGCTTTTATTGTATTTAACACTGAGATATGAATAAAAATACATCCTGGCATCTTGATAATTTATTTTACAGGAAGTTATTCCAACTTTTGACATGGCTGTCAATGAGATCTTCTTTGACCGTTACCCTGACTCAATCTTAGAACATCAGATTCAAGTAAGACCATTCAACGCATTGAAGACTAAAAATATGAGAAACCTGAATCCGGAAGGTAATGTATTTCATAGGATTACTTTTGTGGAAAGAAAATGCCTTGCATGAAAATAGCCTCGTTTCATCAAGAAACTATGAAAGAAGTCATTGGTGGTGGTAGTCAAGGTGACGGATTATAAATTGACAAAATAATGCAAATTCAGCTATCCTATATACTTATGAATCTGCTATGCTTTTTAAATTTAACTGAAGTTTCTCCTATAAGAGAGAGGACTTGGCTGGGCATGGGGGCTCATGCCTGTAATCCTAGCACTTTGGGAGGCCAAGGCAGGAGGATCACTTGAGGCCAAGAATTCAAGACCAACCTGGGCAATAGAGCGAGACCCTGTCTCAAAAAAACAAAAAAAGAATCTAGATTTTATTCCATAGTAAATAAGGAGCCATTAGTTCCTTTAGAGGCAAAAGATTTTGACACTGTTAAAGTTTGTGGGGATTCTAATGTGCAAGGCATATTAAAGTTCTGTTAGTAAACTTGGACAATAGCTAAAACATGGGGCATTAAGCTGTAACCTAGATAGTGGCCATAGGAGTCAAAGTACAGGACAAAATATTTGCCACGTATGAAGATTGAACTATGAAAGCTGTTAAAAAGTAATAAACATCTCTAAATAAAATGTGTAAGGGCACAGAAAGTCAGTAACAAAGTAATATAGCCAGTGAACATGAGGAGGAATAGTTTTTTTCTCTTAAGAAACTGGCTCCTGACATCTTGATGCTGGGAACATGGGAGGAGGTAGAGTGCTGTTTGGTTGGGTAAGAGGGGTGCGTTGTTACACAAAGAAGATTGCCTGAGTGAGATTGGAGATTATCATAGTGTAGAAGTCAAGAAATTGCCAAGTATTCTACTGATTTCAAAAGTTACCAAATTGCATTTTAAAGTAAAAGATTAGTGGCGAGGGAGGCAGGAAGGAATTGTAAATAGGTGAATGGAAGATAGAATTAGATTCTAAAGTCAGACGCAGTGGCTCACACTTGTAATCCTAGCACTTTGGGAGGCTGAGGCAGGTAGATCACTTGAGGTCAGGAGTTCAAGACCAGCCTGGCCAACATGGTGAAACCCCTTTACCAAAAATACAAAAATTAGCAGGGCATGGTGGCATGCCCCTAGAGTCCCAGCTACTCTTGGGAGGCTGAGGCAAGAGAAGTGCTTCAATCTGGGAGGCAGAGGTTGCAGTGAGCCAAGATCACAATTGCACTTCAGCCTGGGTGAGAAAGTGTCTCCAAAAAAAAAAATAGATTTTAAAGACTTGAGGATCACTTAAGGCAAGGAGTTTGAGATCATCTTGTGTGACATAGACTCCCATCTCTTTAAAAAAATGAAAATTAAGAAGAAATTAGCCAAGGACAGTGGCTCACGCATGTAATACTAGCACTTTGGGAGGCTGAGGTGACAGGCTCATTTGAGCCTGCAGTGAGCCGTGGTTGTACCACTGCACTCCAGCCTGGGCAGCAGGTTAAGACCCCATCTCAAAAACAACCAAATTGTAGAGGTCTCATGAATCAGTGGAAGGATAGGGTGATGTTTATGGCTAACAGTGGCTAACCACAGACCAATACAGGGTAGCTCGTCTGAAACCAGCAGGGGAAATTAGTTGGGGCAGTACGACCTTCAAAGGGGAAAAGTTGTATGTCAGGGAAGGTTCAAATCGTAGAGGAAACAAGCAAGAGTGAAAGATCAGACCATCTAAGGGGTCCTCCTGTGTGGATAGTAATGATTATGAAGTATAGAAGGCCTTTTCTCTGCCAGGTGCTCTTACTAGGCTTGAGGTACACTGACTCATTCAGTCCTCAGCTCTGAGGTAGGTGCTGATATCACCCTATTCTATAGAGGAGACAATGTACATAGAGAAGTTGGGGTCAGGACTCAGTCCATACTATCTGGCTTTTTACCTGAGACAGGAGGATGACGTATAGGGGGCTGGGTAAGTGAGGCAGGAGGCAGAGAGCAGGGTAGGCAGACAAGAAGGGAGCAGAGGATACCTGCTGGACAGGGGCCCTAAGGAAGAAAGAGCCAGAGATCCGCTGGGCTTGAAAGTCTCCTAAAGATGTACCCTGAAGAAGACTGGACACAGAAAGGGCACCCTAGGCAGACTCATGGTCACCTAGTGCCTGCCTATGATCCTAGCCATTCCTGGACCTCTTCACCTCAGGTCCTGTGTGCTGATCTCTCTCCCCTCACAGATATCGACCAGCTCATCACCATCAGTGGCATGGTGATCAGGACATCCCAGCTGATTCCCGAGATGCAGGAGGCCTTCTTCCAGTGCCAAGTGTGCGCCCACACGACGCGGGTGGAGATGGACCGTGGCCGCATTGCAGAGCCCAGCGTGTGCGGGCGCTGCCACACCACTCACAGCATGGCACTCATCCACAACCGCTCCCTCTTCTCCGACAAGCAGATGGTGCGCAGCCATGTTGGCCCCCCAGGATGTGCTTTGCCTTTGTTCTGCCTCTGTCTGTATCCTCAAAAGGCCACTTTAACCTGTCACTTGGACCCTGAGCCTTGCTTCCCAAATGTCATCCAGCTCCACCCCTCTCTCGTGATGTGGGTTTTGTTAGTGGCCTGTGGGCTGAATACACAGAGCACACAAAGCCCCTACTTCGTGGCAGTGTTCCTGTGCTGTTGCCAGTAGCAATGTACGTTGTCAGAGACACCATATTTTCATGAAAGAAAACCTTTTTCTGCTGTAAACATTAACATTTGAGATCAGAATACTTGGTTAAATGTCGTTCTGCAGCTTTTCCATCAGTGAAGGATGGAGGAATTTTTCTGAATTTTTTTCACAAATTTTGTTGTCTAAGAAGTTTGATCTTTTTCCTCTCTGTTCATGAAATTTAAGATGAAGTTATTAAAATGATATAGAAATAAGTGAAGGGAAGGTAGAAAATTGCATATTTATCGTGATTGTAACTGTAAAGTTGATATGGGAGGACAGGATTTGAGTTTTCGGTGACAATGTGTGCACAGTTCATTTAATGTTGCATGGCACAGAGAGCTGGAGACAGAAAGGCAGGCACATGCCCTCCTATTCTCAGAATCCTGCAGGGCCCCCAAGGTGGCTTAGAGAAAAGCCCAGCATCCTTAGGCCTCTCCGAGGGCACCTGGTTTGGGAAGGTCTTCCTCGACCCTGCTTTATGAAAAGCATCTCCACCACCCCTGCCACAGCTCCCTGCATTCCTTCCTGTTTTGTTGCTGTTTGCTGTATTTGCCACTGTCAGATGTTATGTGCCCACTTTTCTGTGTGTTATCTGTACCCCCAACCCCGCCCCTCCAGTCCATGAGGGAGGGAACTTTGTTCACTTTGGAGTCCCTGACACCTAGAATGGTCTCTGGCACAAGCCAGGTGCACCACAGACACCTGTTAGCTGAGTGTACACAGGCAGGGTTTGTGAGGTGCACAGGTGCATCTGACAGTGAGTCTTAAGAGTGTGTGCAGTGGCTGGGTGTGGTGGCTCATACCTGTAATCCCAGCACCTTGGGAGACTGAGGCAGGCAGATCACTTGAGGTCAGGAGTTCAAGACCAGCCTGACCAACATGGAAAAAACCTGTCTCTACTAAAAATACAAAATTAGCTGGGTGTGGTGGCGCATTCCTGTAATCCTAGCTACTCAGGAGGCTGAGGCAGGAGAGTCACTTGAACCCAGGAGGTGGAGGTTGCAGTGAGCTGATATAAAATAGAAAAAAAGTGTGCTGCTTCACCCAGGAGATCTAGAAGTAACTTCTTAAATAATGAGAAACATGGACAAACATTCATGCAGAGATACAAATTGTAGACTTACATGGCAAAAACAGGGATTGCAAGAGAAGGTGTGGCAAATATAGTACGAAGCAGTACAAACACATGCAGATTTTGTCCCCCTGCATTCTGTGGCCCACATGTTCTCTGTTACTCTTCAGATCAAGCTTCAGGAGTCTCCGGAAGACATGCCTGCAGGGCAGACACCACACACCGTCATCCTGTTTGCTCACAATGATCTCGTTGACAAGGTTCAGCCTGGGGACAGAGTGAATGTTACAGGTAGGAGTGTAGGTTTATGCCAGCATGTGAGCATGTGTCTTGCTTTCAGTGCTGCACTTCAGTGAGTCACTGGGCTCGATCCCAGGTTCATTGGGATGGGCGAGTTCTGCCTCCTGTTGTCACTGCATGTCTTTGAGACTGGGATATATCCCCACTTTATCTGCCACCTTTTTAACTGAGTCCCACGGCCCAGCAGTATGAAATTGTTCAGTTCTTCCTGAACTTGAATGTTGGAGCTCATGGTTCATGAGGTCACTCGCCTCTTGCTATCTCGGTATCCTGGAGTTATGTGTGTCTTCAGTCCATACTGTTCAAATCATGACAGCACATGCTCAGACGGCTGGAATGGGTAAAGTTTTGAGTTATGCCAGCAGCTCAGAGAAGTATCACCAATGCTGGGGTTTTTATTTGTTTTTTTGAGACGGAGTCTCACTTTGCCACCAGGCTGGAGTGCAGTCGTGCAATCTTGGAGGTGGGTTTTTTTTGTTTGTTTTTTAATTTTTTTGAGACTGAATCTTGTTCTGTTGCCAGGTTGGAGTGTTGTGGTGCGATCTTGGGTCACTGCAACCTCTGCCTCCTGGATTCAAGAGATTCTCCTGCGTCAGCCTCCCAGAGTAGCTGGGACTGCAGGTGCACACCACCACGGCCGGCCAATTTTTTGTATTTTTAATAGAGGCAGGGTTTCACCGTGTTAGCCAGGATGGTCTTCCACTCCTGACCTCATGATCCACCCACCTTGGCCTCCCTAAGTGCTGGGATTACAGGCATGAGCCACCGCGCCCAGCCCACAGGCTGGAGTTTTAAGCAATTTTTACTTGTTTCCCAGATGTACAGCCAAGGGTTAACATTTGTTTATTACGGAGAAGAACAGGTCGAAGCACCTTGTTTCCATGTACAAAAGCACATGAGGTTCAGGGACACATAGGCTGCGGTAGCTCAGATGCCACAGTAAACGATGACCCAGGACCCAGGTCCCCTCTTGCTGCCATGAGAGTGCTGTTAGCACAGCACCACATGAGTGTGGCAATGTTTTTGATTCTGTGGAGGAACAATGGATTTTGGTTGGGGGCAAGAGAGTGTTGATGCAGCATAGCTCTTCATTGATGGGCAGGGAGTGCCTGGATCTGGTCCTGAGCAGAGGGCCTGGGGCACGCCATACATCAGCTCTTGTTTTCATTGAGGCAGTGCTCCCCCTGTTTCTTCCCCAGTGTAAAGTCCCACAGTTGTCACTAGCAATCTTCAGCTGTAAAAGTACTTGTAGTCATTGAGAATTTGAAAGAACGTATAGTCTAGTGAATGACATGCGCCATTTCCAGTCCTGCCACCCTGTAACCTTCAAAAAAGTATTTAGTCCAATATTTTAGTTTCCTAACCTACAAAGTGGAGTTAATGGGATGATACACGTGTGAGAGTTGCCTGGGGCCAAGGGGCTGTGGAAAGTGCTGTGTAGATGTGAAGTAAGTATCAATGCTGTTCTGTGAGATCATCACGGGCCTCTTTAAACATAATCGTCCATCCGTAGCCTGTATTGGAGTGAAGAGTAGTGTGTATTGTAAGAATGTGTGTAATCTGGTTTGTTGTGTTAAACAAGAATTACACTGACCCACTAAATAAACAAGGACAGTGCTCGGTGCCATTGCGTTGAGATAGCTGTAAGGGGGAGGGGTCAGGCTTTCTCCAAAATCTGCCGGAATCATCCTGAAGTCCAAGACTTCTGATTTGAAATCCAGAAAAGATGAACATCAGATGAGACTTCTCCATGTGGGGAGTCTGGCTTCTGGGAGGATGTGATTGGCATGCTTTTGTGGAGCAGGAGGTGGGGACCTAGTCTAGTCTCAGTGGCTGGAGGATTTTAGCATTTTGTTGCAGTCAGGAAGTGCTAGGCAGATTCTGTACACTCAACTTAGGGAAGCAAAAATACTGCTTATTGAACACACAATGAACCCAGCATGGAGCTAGAAGGATAGCAGGTCCATTTCACCCTCAGAGCAACTGTATGCCTGCAGGTGTGCTCACATAGCTGCAGCCGCCCCAGGGCACTGCTGACGAGTAGACCCAGATGAACACATCCTTGGGTCTAT